CCTTCAGCTTCTCCACCACACTCTCTCCGGCTCGCTCCACCACTCGGCCATCTTCCCGTTTGTAACGGTCATCCAGGAACTGAGCAGTGGCTTCAGACAGATGGACCTTGCCCGCCACACCAAGCTGCTCCATCAAGTTAGCCAGATTGACATCATTTGACCATACGTCAAATTTGAAGCGTTTCATTCCAAGAATCCCGCACAGAACAGTGCCGGTATGGACACCAACACGCATGCTGACAGTCTCACATGTCTCCTGGCAAAATTGTTCGATGGCCTGGATCATACCAAGACCCATCTCCACACAGCAGTAGGCATGGTCAGGTCTAGGGTCAGGGCAACCTGCGACGCAGTAATAACAATCACCCAGTGTGCTGATCTTCTCACAACAGGTTAGTTCACAAAGACGGTCAAAGCGTCCAAAGAGATCATTGAGAAGACCGACCAAGGCTGGTGCAGACTTATTGGCAGACATTTTCGTGAAGCCCACAATATCTGCAAAAAGGATACTAACGGGTTCCATGCGTTTCATGTTGAAAGGTCGAAATATTATCTGTCCTCGTGGGATGGAGGTCTTCTTGCGTTTGTGGTTGTTATGTGGGTAGTTCTTGGGACTGGTGGAATTTTGTGATGGCGAAGCTCCACCGACACCTCCTCCACTGCCCACTGAGACAGCTGACGCAGAGCAGGTACCAGAGGAATAACGCTTGCCACAGTTCTCACTCCCGCCGCCCTCGTCGTCACCCTGCTTCATTAGTTCGTCTGCGACGCGTCGAGGCATGACAGAGTGGATCATACGCTCCTTCAAAGCCTTCTCCACCCCAAGGTCCTTGCCATGCATGATGGCCTGGCCCACTTTGAGAAAGGTGCTGCGGGAGCGCACCTCTGACATAATGAACAAGTGGATACCGATGACGTGGACACACAAGTGAAGCAGCGCTTTGGCTGGACCCAGCCATCGGAGAGTGTCTGTTTCCCAATTGGTGCTAGAACTTCCCAAATGCGTCCCCCGTTCAGTAACATCATAGCTTCTGTGAAGCAATGGTAGCCACCCTAATGCCTCAAATAATATCGAGTATAAGAACCCCAGCATTACCGATGCATACAGACGCACATGGAGAACACTGTATAACAACAAGAGGACCTCGATACACAAAGAAAAGGTAGCCACTGGGGAGATACAAGGGGACAAAGGCAAATCTGGAAAATGGTATGAAGCATTTGCATGGTGAGCCCACTCCAGCTCAGTGTAGCCGGCAGTCTGTATCTGTGGGGCCAAAGTGATGGCGAAGGTAACTGCAATCAGGAGCAACGATGTTTGGTTGTACAGTTGCGCGTAGTAATGAGTTAAGGTGAACAAGAAGAGGAGTGCTAGGAGCACCAAAAAGGAGGCCGTGGGAGCCAGGAAAGTCATGGGGTTGCAGCGGTCACTATTGACGGTAAAGTAAATGGCCCAGAGCACAGCAGCCACCGCCAGGTAGAACAGGACATATCGAAAACGCCGCTGAGTCTGAGGAAAGCACCTCTCTTGGCACGCCTCCTCCAGGATGGGGGAGTCAAACTTGGGGTCCCAGCATTGGGCAGCGGAGCGCTCAAACAGTGGCGGTGCCTTCCTGTGCACCCTCGTTGTGGAGGTCGTAGCCAGTCTAGAGTCTGCGGAGCTGCAGCTGGAGGAAATACTGTATTTGTGGAGGTTAGGGTTCATTTTACTTCGATCCTCACGGCCTCGGACTCCTCCGGCAATGGTGGCGGGCCGAACCGGCTCATGCTGTTGCACGGGTGGCGTCAGCATACTCTTAGTAATCCGTACGGTCACATCACCATCTCTGTTGGAATTGCAACTCACTTCTGTGGTGTGCGTGAGAAGCTGCCGGTGCTGTTGCAGCGTGGCCATATTGACGCGGGAAAAGGAGGGGTGCGGGAGTGGAGTTAAATATTAATAGCTTTGGATGGTCCTCAGGCAATTAGACGTGTTGCGTGGGCGCTGCGTGTTCACATGTGGCACTGTGGGGAGGGAAGGATAGGGGGTAGGGGCTCAAAGGTGTTTTCGCTGGAATAGTCACACTTATAGTGTTGAGCATGAGGCGCAGACGTCTTTACTCCGCACACAGAGGCTGAAAAGCTCACTCATACCGTTCCAGCTTATTGAGCTGCTCATGATGAGACCCTGGATTTGCGTCATCACTCACATCACAAGAATCACTCTGCAAAGAGCATCTGTGCTTCAGACTGAGTTTCTCCACAGTAAAACAACAGTCACTAATCAGTCCGTCTCCAACATTGATCATCCATGGTTGCGTTGCAAAAGCACATCCAGATGTAGGCTGTCATGTGTCTTGGTGATGTGTACAAAATTTAAAACGGTCCCTTGCAACTCTGCAACAAATGGCACCTTCAGTCTGTAGTCTCTTAAAAACTCCACCTCTGCAGCAGCATGATGAAAAGTTAGGAAAATGTGACACGGTGTAAAGATTCAAAAATATAATAGTCCAGCCTTCAAAATATAACAAAAAGGGTTGGTTTCTGGGTCAGGCAATTTTACCTTCTGCATTCCTTCTCAAGCAGCGTGCTGAACAATTGGATTTCCGTGCATTCATTCCTTCCATCTTTAGTCTTATAAATCTTCTTGACAGCAAAATTTCGGAGCCCAATCCATGACCAGAATCCAGCTCGTATATGAGGCCTGGCAGACAGGCAGGCCTATTCCCACAGATCCAGCCCCGTCCTTTCCTGAACTCCCGCTCCGGATCTCCTCCGTGTGTCCCCCCCACCCCCTCTACCTTCCAAAGAGGGTTGGGAGAGGTATGTGCTATTCCGAGAGCGTAATCCGAAAAGAGAAGCACAGAAAATACCAACCACTGGCCCAAATTAGCGTCGCTTTGACTCAACTGGGAGTGACTGCAACTTGTTGCGCGCAGTTGGCAAAACATACAAGATACGAGGAACAGCCTGGGTCGAGGCTGCTCTATAAATAGTGATGATCAAAGCTCTTTGCAATAGTAACAACACATCCCAGGATTTAACATTCGAAGACTTTTCTCCGTATATCCAGCGGCGTTGGATTCCAGAGAGGTGTGGTGAGGGTAAAATTCTACTACTTAAGATTTAAGTCATGCAAACCGTCAGCCTCAGAGCCCGTCTCCAAAAAAAGTTTTTCCCCAGGCCGTATTTCCTGCGTTTAGAGAGGGGACACAGTGAGAACTGCGGTTATTTGGAGCTCGATTTCCTCCCTTCACATCCCCCCTGGGCGAAGAAGAAGTGAAAAATCCCCAGAGCAAACAAGAGGAAACCCTCTCGCAAATCCTTGTGAAAACGATCCAAAAGCAGCCAACAACAGAGAGCAGACTTATCGGAATCAACTCCTCGGGGTCTGGATGGCACTAGTTCGTGTGTGTGTGTGTGTCCAATACACACAGGAGTGTACGCTGAAGCGTGTGTGCGGGTCCTTTTCAGTGAGCCGCTTGTCGCCTCCCTTTTTTACAACCCTCTTGCTGGAGCTAAAACGAAAACGCCGGTTTTATCTATCCATGGGATAACTCTCGTGGCTGGTTTGCGTGTTATCCGGGCGTACGGAACATCTACACGCCTGGAGCTGCCACCATCTTCGCTGTGACGGGCTCGGAAATCCTCCCCCAGCTGTTGTGGCGGTGTGCGATGGTGGGACCAGCCTGTCAAGCTCGACGCCATGACCAAACGATACCACTTCCGGAGAAACAACACATCTATGGATCTAATCACCCTAAATGTTCCAAAAGTACCACTGTTAGTGTTATACCACTTTTTATCAGGCTGAATACGAGCACAAGTACTTATAATACTCATTGCTTCAGAGAACCAACCCCCCATGACACCACTGCAGTTGTGACGTGATGCATGTTATTTCAATCAGATATTGTTCAAAAACAGAAACTTGTTAAACAGGGCGTACATTTCAGTCAAAAGACTTTTAGTGTGACAACTTGCCGTTACTGACACTTTTACATCCAACTGGATGTTTTTAATAGTCCTAAATACCTAAGCAAAAAACAAGAATCTGAGGAGGCTCTGGTTTTTGCTAAGGAACGTTCTTTTCCTTACGTTCTGAGTGAGATGACTTGGAGCAAAGGTCGTTTGAATTGTAAAATTCTTGGGAAAGGTGTGTTTATGCAACCTTTAACCCACATCTAGCAAAACGAAAGGATCTTATCCACTTTACAACAGAGGTGTCAAACCCCTCATTGTTGCAGGCCACTTTATAGGTACAGTTCACCTTAGGTGGTCATTATGACTCTGAAGCTATATAAAAGTTTAATCACCTCCTCATATTATTACGTATGTAGTACAAAAAAATGGATATATATTTAGTTTTGAAATAAGTAACTGTTCATCTATTGTTGAAGTTACTGTAATAAATTCACAAGAAAATGCTTGCAATATAACACCCTTATTATTTATTAGATATGAAATAATTGTATATGGATTTTATACAGATATTAGCAAGCATCATGGAAGTTAAAGATGTGATGTGTGTGTGTGCATTCGAATCCGGGCTCTGGCCTTTCTGTGTGGAGTTTGCATGTTCTCCCTGTGCCTGCGTGGGTTTTCTCCGGGTACTTCCTCATTCCAAAAACATGCAGAGGAGGCTGATTGAAACCTCTAAATTGTCCCTCAGTGTGATTGTGAGTGTGAATGAATGGTTGTTCATCTATGTGTGCCATGTGATTGGCTGGCAACCAGTTCAGAGTGTATCATTCCAGAGGTAAACTTGGTACACTTAAGTACTTCACAATTGGCATAGCTAGAAAAATAATGGTGTGTTGATTTCACCCAGTCGCAGGGCACATACAGTATAGTGACAGACAACCATGCACACCCACATCCACAGCGTCGCTGAGAGGGAACCAATTCCACGCTGCCTGCACATAAGTCAGGTGAGTGTACCTCTACAAAATCAGAGACTCAATAAGTTTTATATAAAGACATTTATGGAGAGAAGTGTTCGCGCCAATACCGTAAATGAAATTAATGCTTTTATTTTGGAAATCATGCTCTGAGTTTCCGTTTTGTCCCTAGTGGCCTCCATGTGTCTTGACACAGCTGGAGATGGGTGGGTTTCCACAATCTGTGTCGGTTCAGGTCACATGTCACTGACTGCCTTAACTTGGTGAAAGGAGGAGCAACCACCGCTCAACTTTTCTCTCTCTTACTTTGTTTTTCACAATTAGCACTTTTTTCATAATATTCATATATTATCTTAATACTCATTGCACGTTTGTTACTTTTTACTCATTCTGAAACAGAATATTTCATTTTTTTTATTTAATGGAGCTATATTGCTTCAATTTTCTCTCAATTGTTTGCATGGACTTCATAACAAAGGAAAACTTTTCCAGGTTAGAATCCTTAAATCTCAATGTGCTGAAGATCGTACAAGTGTTGTGACACATTTATGATATTTAACAGCAATATTCAGAATCAAGGCGTGTACTTCCAGGAGATGGTAAAGTGATGAGATTGAGAACAGCAGGCTTCCACAACTTGACAATATACATCCTAATTCATTGATTCACTGCGGGTGTGTGTTTGTGTGCGTGAGTGTGTACTTTACTGGCAATAACAATGAAATATGATTCCAATAAGCCATAACCCCTGTGTGCATTGTTCAAGTGTGTTTACCAGTGGCATGTGGGCGGCGTGTGCACGCGTGTGTGTACTTGTGTTTGAGAGCTTCCCGAAGAGGCCTTTTCATGGCGCTGATAACGCTGCGCTGATAAAGTCTGTGTTAGCCCTTTGGCCAAAAGGTTTGGCAAATACAGTTCACACACACATACACAAGACATAAGGTCACGTATGTGCATATGGAATTTTAATTGCAAGCATCCGAGCGCTTGTGACGTTTTGCATGTGTCCGGTCATCCTGGAGTTTTCAGATTGACCTCTGTGGGGTGCTTGATGACTCCTCAGCCCCAATTTAAAGAGTGCTTTATGGCTTGTATGTGTTTATAATAATAGCAGGTAACTACTTTTTTCACTTGTGTGGGAGCTTTTTTCTATTTTCTACTGTGGTTTTGCTCATTCGGGTCACAGGTGAACTGAAGCCTATCCCATGTGACTCTGAGCAAGAGCCATAGACGTGTCATCAACCATTCGCAGGGCATTCAGACAAACAACCATTTACATTCACATTCACACTTGTGGACAATTTGGAGTTCTCAGTTAACCTAACATGCATGTTTTTGGAATTTGAGGAAAAACATTCAAACCTTCCTCATAACCGTGAGGCAGATGAGCTGCTTCCCACTATTCTACAATGCTTTTTGTTAACTATTGTATAACAGCAGTGGGTGAGGAGAAAAGTACAACAATTTTGAAACTCTGTGGATGGAAACATTCATGCAAGATTGAAAATTAGTAAAGGTTTACTTGAAATATGAATACACACTGTCCACTGACAATCATTGAAGTTTTTCTATTGTGTCTGAAGCGAACTTTACATTCTGTATGACTCACAAATGAAAGTTTAACAAATTGACTGAAGGTGTGGATGCTCTGAGAGCATATATATATATATATATATATATATATTTTTTTTATCATAATAATGTGTTCTGATATTCTCCTATTTGTATGACCTTAACATTTCTCAGTCACACTGAACAATAATGCACTCAAGGAGGTTTTGGATATACTGAACTGATGAAAATATCTTTTTAAAAATGGTGATTTCGTTGGTGTCTTTGGAGACTCAGAGAGGAAACAGTGTCCAAGTGTTGATCGTTTTGACGTAAAATAAATCACAGAAAAGAAAAAAACTATTACAGGCCTAAATTGATGAATCTTAATGTGGGCAAGAAACAATGAAAATGTATGGATGAATTTCATAAGTGAATAAAATGCATTTAGGAACATGACCAATATTTACCTTGGATGCCAAGATAGAATATAAACTTATTTTTTAAAGAGAATATGCGCACTTGTCTATTATTATCAGAAGTCCTTCAATAATTTTAGGTGCTCGCCTCGGTGGATAAAAACAGCACAACTGATTTGACTTACACTTCAGTCTTTGAAAGCGCCACATAAATGGCAACAGTGGCTGTTTTTAGCCTCTGATTGGCAATATCTGTCTCTTGAGGGTGGGCATAAATCATGTGCAAAAAGAAAATAAGAACAACAAACTCCTTTTGTTGTATTCACTTCATATTTAATCAGTGAATGGTTAGAAGCGTCTATGTTTTTTGTTTCATCTGAAGACAAAGTAGTGGAGGTTTTCACCAATCATGGTCAACCAGTAAGATGTACACCTTTTTAGTTATACTTTGTCAGTATGATGTAACATTATTCTAAGACTAACTAATGAATATGATGGAAGAAATCCCTTATGCTTCTTATTTCGTTATAAGAAGAAATATGGTCTAAATAAGGACTATTTTTAAGGGTTATATGACCCAGGTTGACATTGGAGATGCTTACAAATGATCTTTCTCATTCATATTTGCTCCCGTCATTCCGTTTTGAGAATCACAGCCGTCAAGATTCCCGCAGAGTAGCTTTAAGGCTACCGCCATCTGCCGATGCGATTCATCCTTCTGTACCATTCCCATCCATCTCACTGCCTCCGCCAGCGATTTTTGGGTTTCTCCTCACATTTCGGGCCCTCACAGGTGTCGGAAAGCAGGGTGGCAGGTGTAGAGGCGGGTTTTGCCATAGCGGGCGTCTTCTTGCTGACACTCATGAGCAGAGCTGGGAGCTCATACGAAATGGCCTTCTCTAGACGGTCCAGCATGCAACCACGCGTCCAGCTGCAGTGGTAGGAGAGCTGCTGGAAGTTGGAGAGTGGATTCACTCCAAAGAAATCCTGATAGGCTTCCTTACTGGGAAGGTCAAACTTGCTGACGTTAGTCTTGGCCAAAATGGATTTGAAGATGTAGTACTTGTCTGGGTCAGTGACAATGTCGTGAAACACTTCATGGGGATCACCAAACCAGCCCAGCTTTTCGTGGTAGGTCTGAAGGTAACGGTCAACAAGGAGGGCGTGAATGCGCACTCGGATGCCGTGCTGCCGGATAAAGGCAATCTTATTTTCAATCTGGTTCTCTATCACCTGCAAGAAGAGCGACACGGGAAGAGTGAGGAGAGAGCAAGGGGAACACTCCAATATTTTAAACTCGAATGATGCATGCAGGGCTTTGCCAAGGTTGAACTGTTGCGGAAAGTGATTTGGGTTTTTTTGTCCATTCTCAGATTCACAGGAAACTTATTCATGGAGGGCGACTTCATTGACTATTTTTTTTTTTTTTTTTTTTTTTATCCTTCTGTTTGTGGTTCACGGAGAAACACACAAAATATTAGGATTGGACCAACAAGACGCAACCCTTTCCATGCATGATTTTCGCATGACTCAAAAAGGTGAAACGTGAAAATAAATGACCATTCACACGGTCACACCTATGGACAATTTAGATTTTTCAGTCACTTAACGTACTGTATGTGACTACCACAAGGAGGCTTCTAAAATGTAATGCTTGATATCATTGGCCTTTCTCATAGGTGACCAAATAAAACTTCTTCAACCACATGGCACCTTGCACAGAAAAGTCATACCTGGTTCAAGTCCTCCAACAGAGAGGTCTCCTCCTTCATAAAAAGCTCCCGGCTGGTATCTACTGCATATTCCTGAGTCCAGAAAGAGCTGACGTACACCCGAGGAGGTTCTGTGACATTGATGAGTGGTGCCATGCTCCAGAAGAGTGCTCCATAAACCCTCATCAGGTCTTGGGTGGTGAGACTGTCGGCCTTGTTGAGGATGATGCGAATTTGGGACTCACGGCCCTTCATCTGCCTGAAGAGCATTTCAAGCTCCCCTCCCACATCAAGTTTGGTAGGGTCAAAAACCAGGAAGATGAGATCAGCTCGGTCGATGAACCACTGGCACACCTCGTTGTAAGGGTACCCTGTTGGGGGTGAAGGCAAACGACACACTGTAAGTTCTCAGATGCATTA